GAGAATATGCTTATCAGACTCTGAAGGAGTATCCCAGGGATCAACTACTAGAGTGTATACGGCTCGCTCATGTTCTAGTAGATCAGGGCACAGAATTCTCTGAGGTGCAGCCATTGATTCAGGTTTGTGCTGAGTTGGTTTCATCTGGTACCCTCGAATGCAGGGATGAATTTTTGCCGCCATTTAGTGCCGACCAGGTAGAGTCCCTGGTATGGTTATTAGAGGATGATGTGGATTACTTTCTGGAGCGTTATTCTGCATGTTCACCACAGGTACTAAGAGATTGTATAAACGCAGTGCAGTCTTTGACCAGACAGGCTTTGTGTAAGCGGAGCTTTGTTCAACCCATACTGCAGACATGGTCAGACTTGTTGCACCCAGCCTCAGTCAGCTTGCAACGTCATTCCTCTGCTCAAGGCACTCTTCCTGCATCCCCGACAGCACCCCCAGTGACTGCCCAGTATACTCTAACTACCACATACCAGTCCTCTGCTCCCACTCGCTGCACCTATCCTTTCTTTAATCCTGTAAAGAAGTCCTCTGTAGCAACTGCTCCCTCCTCTGTTCCATCTTCCAGCTCTTCTCTGTCCTCAGCTGCTCCATTCGTTTGCAGACCTGCGTTTACTTGCAGTGCTCCAGTAGTTAAAACCAGAAAAAAGTGAAAATTCTTTCCAACCAGTACCATCCTGCCAGTATCCAAACCGCCTGATGTCTGTACCCAGCCTGATGAACTGATCCAGCCTGATGATTAGAGATGAGCGAATCGAACATGGCGAAGTGGAATTCGTTTTCGAAGATCAGGAAAAATTCGATTCGCGCTGAATCCGAAAATTAGCAAACTTCGGATGCACGAATCGAATTTTCCCCAAAATGGCGGCGACATGTGTGGCGACGGAGCGGGGATCTCTGGGAAGGCGCGCAGACAAGGCCCGCTGACCCATAATGCATTCATTCATGACATGTGATCGCATTAGCCAATCAGCAGCCAGCCAGCCAGCACTGTGTAATGGTGGAGCTATAAATTGCGGCCATCTTACAATTCTCTCCATTAGCCTCATTAGTCATTCAAGAGAGACAGACCTGTCTGTATTAGGGACAGAGTTAGGGCCAGAGAGACTTTAGGGCCACAGAATCGTTACTTAGGGCCACAGAATCGTTACTTAGGGACACAGAATCGTTACTCAGGGACACAGAATTGTTACTCAGGGACACAGAATTGTTACTCAGGGACACAGATTCGTTACTCAGGGACAGACACAGAATTGTTACTCAGGGACACAGAATTGTTACTGAGGGACACAGAATCGTTACTCAGGGACACAGAATTGTTACTCAGGGACACAGAATTGTTACTCAGGGACACAGAATCGTTACTCAGGGACACAGAATTGTTACTCAGGACAACACAGAATTGTTACTCAGGGACAGACACAGAATTGTTACTCAGGGACACAGAATTGTTACTCAGGGACACAGAATTGTTACTGAGGGACACAGAATCGTTACTCAGGGACACAGAATTGTTACTCAGGGACACAGAATTGTTACTCAGGGACACAGAATTGTTAATCAGGGACACAGAATCGTTACTCAGGGACACAGAATCGTTACTCAGGGACACAGAATTGTTACTCAGGGACACAGAATTGTTACTCAGGGACACAGAATTGTTACTGAGGGACACAGAATCGTTACTCAGGGACACAGAATCGTTACTCAGGGACACAGAATTGTTACTCAGGGACAGACACAGAATTGTTACTCAGGGACACATAATTGTTACTCAGGGACACATAATTGTTACTGAGGGACACAGAATCGTTACTGAGGGACACAGAATTGTTACTCAGGGACACAGAATTGTTACTCAGGGACACAGAATTGTTACTGAGGGACACAGAATTGTTACTGAGGGACACAGAATCGTTACTCAGGGACACAGAATTGTTACTCAGGGACACAGAATTGTTACTCAGGGACAGACACAGAATTGTTACTCAGGGACACAGAATTGTTACTGAGGGACACAGAATCGTTACTCAGGGACACAGAATTGTTACTCAGGGACACAGAATTGTTACTCAGGGACACAGAATCGTTACTGAGGGACACAGAATCGTTACTGAGGGACACAGAATTGTTACTCAGGGACACAGAGTTGTTACTCAGGGACACAGAATCGTTACTCAGGGACACAGAATTGTTACTCAGGGACACAGAATTGTTACTCAGGGACACAGAATCGTTACTGAGGGACACAGAATTGTTACTGAGGGACACAGGATTGTTACTCAGGGACACAGAATCGTTACTCAGGGACACAGAATTGTTACTCAGGGACACAGAATTGTTACTGAGGGACACAGAATCGTTACTGAGGGACACAGAATTGTTACTCAGGGACACAGTATTGTTACTCAGGGACACAGAATTGTTACTCAGGGACACAGAATCATTACTCAGGGACACAGAATCGTTGAATTAAAGAGTATGTCAGACAACACGCAGAGGAGTGGCAGAGGAGGCAATGTTTCAGGAGCGAGCAGACGTGGCAGCAGAGGAAGGGGTCGAGGCAGCACTAGTCGCAGCCAGAGGCCAGTGCTCCCGGTGTCATCCAGCGGTCGTGTCTCTACCGACAACCCTGCCGTCATCGATTGGTTAGCTCGGTCGTCTTCCTCTTCCCAGGTCACCTCTGACACCTACAGCCAACGGTCGGTGGGTACGTCAGACACAACCGTTAGTTGGCATGGCCCGGGAGCAAGCCCACTGAAATCACGTGTCCTCTACCTGCCCCTGTCCTTTGGTGTTCCCTCACCAAGCGAAGTATCGCATGCTGTGGGCTCAGCCCCACTGTACAGTGAGGAAGAGCTAACAGAGGGCGGTCAGGAACGGGGGGAGACATCCGCCTCTTCAGCAGCCAGGCGAAGAAGTACTGGCAAGGAGAGTGGCTCGGTAGCCGGTCTAGAGACAGGTCTGTCTCCTGACCCACACGCAGCCGAGGGGGCTAGTAGTGAGGCGGAGACCCTAATTGATGATGATGAGGCTGATCGCACTTGGCAGCCTCGTCGTCATCTGCCAGGCCCGTAATCTGCCATGGGCCCCCCGTACCGACTCCTCATGCTGCTGCCAGGCCCATAATCTATCATGGGCCCCTGTACCGCCTCCTCATGCTGCTGCCAGGGTCCAGAGTGTGTCATGGGTCCCTGTACGGCCTCCCATTGCTGCTGTCTCCATCGCCACACTCTGCCATGTGCCACTTTCAGGTCTCCTCACACTGCTGGTGGGTTCCATTTTTGTCATCCAGGGTGCTGGCAGATTACGGGCCTCCCATTGCTGCTGCCAGGCCCGTAGTAATCTGCCATGGGCCCCCGTACCGACTCCTCATGCTGCTGCCAGGCCCGTAATCTGTCATGGGCCCCTGTACCGCCTCCTCATGCTGCTGCCAGGTCCAGAGTGTGTCATGGGTCCCTGTACGGCCTCCCATTGCTGCTGCCAGGCCCGTAATCTGCCATGGGCCCACGTACCGACTCCTCATGCTGCTGCCAGGCCCGTAATCTGCCATGGGCCCCCGTACCGACTCCTCATGCTGCTGCCAGGCCCGTAATCTGCCATGGGCCCCCCCGTACCGACTCCTCATGCTGCTGCCAGGCCCGTAATCTGTCATGGGCCCCTGTACCGCCTCCTCATGCTGCTGCCAGGTCCAGAGTGTGTCATGGGTCCCTGTACGGCCTCCCATTGCTGCTGTCTCCATCGCCACACTCTGCCATGTGCCACTTTCAGGTCTCCTCACACTGCTGGTGGGTTCCATTTTGTCATAGGGTGCTGGCAGATTACGGGCCTCCCATTGCTGCTGCCAGGCCCGTAATCTGCCATGGGCCCCCGTACCGACTCCTCATGCTGCTGCCAGGCCCGTAATCTGTCATGGGCCCCTGTACCGCTTCCTCATGCTGCTGCCAGGTCCAGAGTGTGTCATGGGTCCCTGTACGGCCTCGCATTTGCTGCTGCCAGGCCCGTAATCTGCCATGGGCCCCCGTACCGACTCCTCATGCTGCTGCCAGGCCCGTAATCTGTCATGGGCCCCTGTACCGCCTCCTCATGCTGCTGCCAGGTCCAGAGTGTGTCATGGGTCCCTGTACGGCCTCCCATTGCTGCTGTCTCCATCGCCACACTCTGCCATGTGCCACTTTTCAGGTCTCCTCACACTGCTGGTGGGTTCCATTTTGTTATAGGGTGCTGGCAGATTACGGGCCTCCCATTGCTGCTGCCAGGCCCGTAATCTGCCATGGGCCCCCGTACTGACTCCTCATGCTGCTGCCAGGCCCGTAATCTGTCATGGGCCCCTGTACCGCCTCCTCATGCTGCTGCCAGGTCCAGAGTGTGTCATGGGTCCCTGTACGGCCTCCCATTGCTGCTGTCTCCATCGCCACACTCTGCCATGTGCCACTTTCAGGTCTCCTCACACTGCTGGTGGGTTCCATTTTGTCATAGGGTGCTGTATGGCCTCCCATTGCTGCTGCCAGGCCCGTAATCTGCCATGGGCCCCCGTACCGACTCCTCATGCTGCTGCCAGGCCCGTAAACTGTCATGGGCCCCTGTACCGCCGCCTCCTCATGCTGCTGCCAGGTCCAGAGTGTGTCATGGGTCCCTGTACGGCCTCCCATTGCTGCTGTCTCCATCGCCACACTCTGCCATGTGCCACTTTTAGGTCTCCTCACACTGCTGGTGGGTTCCATTTTTTCATAGGGTGCTGTATGGCCTCCCATTGCTGCTGCCTCCACCGCCACACTGTGGCTCCACACTCTGGTTTTGGCCCCGTGACTGCCCAAATGAGTGAAAGTGTGCGGTGATTCTAAGATCGACGGCACTCATCTGCATGTCATACTGACTGACAGTATTATTTCTCTTCCCCAGCAGACTCCAAGGGCATTTAAATTAAAGGTACAGTGTTCTGCACTAATATAGCTCTCTGAAGCCTAGAAACTCCCTTTTTATAAGTTAAATTCGCAGCGAATATATTCGACTCGAATCGAATTTATTCCGCGAATTCGCCGAATCAGCCAAATCGAATTTTTGAATAATTCGCTCATCTCTACTGATGATCCTATCACGCCTGATGACCCAGTGCCCGCTGTCATACCTGGTGACCCGATGCCCGCTGTGGAGCCAGACGATCCAATGCCTGATGACCCAGTGCCCGCTGTCATGCCTGGTGACCCGATGCCTGCTGTCGAGCCAGACGATCCAGCGCCAGATGACCCGGTGCCTGCTGTCGAGCCAGACGATCCGGTACCTGATGACCCAGTGCCCGCTGTCCTGCCAATTGACTCAGAGCCCACTGTCGTGCCTGGTGACTCGGTGTCCACTGCCTTGCCAGATGACGCGGTGCCCGCTGTCGAGCCAAATGACCTGATGCCTGGTTACCCGATGCCCGCTGTCGAGCCAGACGATCCAGCGCCAGATGACCCGGTGCCCGCTGTCGATCCAGACGATCCAGACGATTCATTTTGGAATGTCTTGAATACCTATTATCACACGACTACTTTTCTTTTGGTGGTGTTTTTTTACTTCCAACAATTTGTGGGGCGGCGATGGGTGCCAGATTTTTGCCCTTTCTCACCAACCTCTACATGGGTTGATGAGAGAGGGTGAAGATATTTGGACCTGACAACCCGTTCCATCTCTACATCCAATTATACAGGCACTACATAGAAGATTTGATCTTCATCTGTTGCGGAGTGTTCGGGAATTTGGAAAGTTTTTTGTTTTATCTCAGCGACAATGAACTTAACCTCGGCTTCATTGAACAGATGAGTGATCATAGTATTAATTTTGTGGATGTCACACTGAGGGGTTGCAAGGGTGCAGTTGTCACCAGTTTGTATAGAAAACCCTTAGCAGGCTATACCATTCTAAAAGCTGACTCAGGACATCTTAAACACACAGTTAGAGGGATTGCCATACAGTTCCTACGATTGTGTAGGATTTGTAATTTGGGCTGTGGGTATAGCTAACAATACTGACAGGGACAATGAATTGATAACAAAGGAGAGGTGTAGTTCCAGGCCGGGACCACCGGTTTTCTCCACAGCTTTCAGCCTAGAGTTTGGGAGTATTAAAAGTTTCAATGAGTGCTATCTTCCCATACTTCTGAGTGATGACATATTTGCATAAATATTGTCCCATGGTACTAAAATGTATTCCCGACGTGCACCTACTTTGGGCAATACTCTGTCCTCTAGCTATTTCTCCTCTAGAAAAACTCAGAGAACATGGCTGAGTTTTAAGAGGTAACAATATGTTGGTAAGATGATTAGCAGGCTATGAGATCGCCTCCATGATCATGTTCATGACAGACAAAAGAATCATTCTACCAATGTCACAAATTTTTTTAACAGTGTTCATGGAGGTGACCATAGTGCTTTGAGCATACAGGGCATTGAGAGGGTGGACAGGTCTCCTAGGGGTGGAGATGGCTTTAGATTGCTGTGCAAACGTGAAATCTTTTGGATTTTTTTATTTCTGTACATGTACTCCTAATGGTTTGAATTTTGAATGGGATCTTACCCATTTTTATGAGTAACTTCTCACCTCCCCCCCTTTGATGTGATTATGTTTTAACACCTGTTGGAGTACATGCATTTATTTGACTACATGCATTTATTAGGGGTAATGAATAAGCGCTGTCTTTAGCGTGAATTGCATTTACCTGCCAGTCCCCCACTGTATTTCCACTGTCTGTATTGGTTTTATCCTGGTTCAATAAAGTGGACTGCTGCTTGGAGTGCAGCCGATCAGACTTCATTTGTTCTCATTTGATCTAAAATGGCTGTTGTTTTTGACAAGTGTAAACTGCTATCAGCAGATGCAGTTTTTCACACATAACCTGCAATTGCCTACAGTGATTGCTGCTGGATGCATGCAATGCACTGTTACCCACAATATACAGCAGCACACACTGGGGTTTATTTACTAAAGTGGGAGAATGCAAAATAAGATGCACTTCTGCATAGAAACCAATCAGCTCCCAGGTTTTATTGCCAAAGCGTAATTGAGCAAGCTGAGATTAGAAGCTGATTGGCTACCATGCACAGCTGCACCAGATTCTGAGGGAACCAATTTTAGTAAATCTACCCCTGTGTGTTTTCCATCTACTTTTTCACTTCACCCAAACACATATACAGTGCAATCTAGTGTATAGCACACCACAATGTGATATAGCACACCACAATGCACACATGCAAATTCTCTGTGCATTGCTGTTTGCTTTTAAACATAGGGAATGGGCACACTAACACAAATCCCTAATTCTCTTCAGCACTCAAAAAGGCTGGATTCACACCTATGCAATCCTTTGCAGTGCATCAACTCATATTGTTTTGTTAATTGTTATTTCTGATAAAATAACCTTCACTGCATACATTTTTTAGGATCATATGAAAAACTTTCACATGCCATTATTTGATATGTTATTAATACCATTTTAAAAATTAGCAAGCATATTTTGCTTATCAAACTCACTTTCTCAATGTACACATGAGGGATCTGGATTTCCATATCAGATTATTGCTCGTCTTCCTCTGCATGTAAGTACAGTATCCATGAAGTGCCCCAGGTTTCAAGAAGTGACTTCTTGAAATTGGATGAGTAGCTGGTGCTTCTGTCCAATAATCTGTCTTATGCTTGTTGGATGCATTCTGTACAGTCAATGCATCTGAGGTCCAAAAGGAAGGAGTAGACACTTCTCCACATAGCCATGACAAGAAGGCTGTTTCAGCCAGAGAACACTATGAAGATCATTCAGCCACAGTTGCGAATTGCAATTTTAAAAAAAGATGAGTACAGAACAAGAGGTATAGGGGAATGAGACCCAGATACCCAGAGGAGATGATGCCCATAGTTTTCTGCAAAGGATGCGTGGGGGAGGGTTGAACAAATCTATAAATCAGCAGTGGTGTTAAAGGTATTTAAAGTAGGTAGCTGCCAATCAGGGTAATGGTGAAAGATTTATAGGACACTTAACTATATTACAGATAGTATTACATATTTTTGAGTCCATTAAATTTCCTCTGCATTAAATAAAAATAGGAATTCTAAAATAATAAAATTATAATTTCATATTTTTTCATGCTTTATTCTGACATATCCTAAAAAAATGAACCAGGAAGCACTCCCTTTACTTACACAAAACTCTACATCCGAACTTATGCTGCCTTTTAATATACACGATTGACTGCTAGAAATTGAAAATACCACTTTTTTCTAGGAAACACACTCTTGGCTCCTGTTTCCTTACAAGGACCAGTAAGGCCATCCATTCCATTGATAGAAAAATTCCTAGGCACAGGCAGTGGAAAGGGGCAGATTCAAGTGCTAAAATAATAGTTTAAAGTGTCACTAAAGGCAAAACCTTTTTTTTTACATTTTGGATAGAGTAAGGAAGGGTTTTAAGTCCTGGGTTTTTTTTGCAATCTATATTCCATTCGGGAGATTTCCCTTTACTTCATGTCCCATAGCCAAAACAGGAAGTGAAAGGAAATTCCTCCAAAGTGAGGGAATCCCAGGGTGTCACCAGGGTAACTAGAACTAGTATCCCCATTGGAAGATTTCCCCTCTATTCCTGTTCCAATGTCAACTCAAAATTTGGAACTTCCTTTTCCTTTCACTTTTGATGATAACAATAAACAGGACAAATAGAGAAGGTGAATCTTCATAACGAGGGAACAGACAGCAATAAAACTGATAGATGTTTTAATCTCTAAAACTAAAAAAAATGCCTTTAGTGACACATTAAGTATTTATATTATGGAGCATCATGTGCTTTGAGATACCTGGAGTATATTATTGAATTGCTGAATGTATATGCCGACACCTTTAAATGTACAGTACATTTGAATGAACATTTTTTGTGATATTGGTTACTACAGGTACACCTTGACAAAAACACATATGGCTTAAAATATAAGAAAATAATAGAATGAATTGTGATACACTAATAACCACAGTAACACTTATAAAGTAATTACTCGGTGGTGTCAGCGTTTGTCGATTCTAAAACAAATATAACGTTTTGTAATTGTCCTTCTTTGAAATCATATTTATTTAGCAGTCACTGCCTATTGGCCAACACTACCAATCTCAGCTTTTCGTAAATTGTCAGACCATTGAATTTGTCTATATGTTATGATATTCTTTTGGAGCCTTTTACATAGGCAAGACTAAATATACAGTAATTTGGGGGATGTATTTACAATCACATTTATGCAATTTTAAATGGTAATTTGGAATCTCCGATGGGCAGATACTTTGTCCTCCATCACTAGTAAAATCCTAAAGGGGTTCGGTTTACAGCCCTGGATAGGATACGAAAAGAAACAACAGCGCACCCCATAGTGTAGCATTAAAAAAAAATAAATAACAATTTATTGAAAAATAGAAATGCACTCACAAAAGTACACATGGTATAAAGATGAAATGTCCAAAGGGCAGTCAGAGAAGCACTGGTGATGAAGAATGCTGAAGGTGGAGGAAGCTGCTGTTACTACAAATGCTAATGGTGTTCAACCTGGGACTGGAATCCCCAACGTCACTGTAGACACATGCGCTGTAGACACAGGACGTGTTTCAAAGCTGGTTGACTTCTTCATCAGCTTGAAGGTCCTTCATCATCCCAAGGCCCATCAAAGGCATCTATGGTATGTGTTTCTCAGCCCCTTATGGGTCTTCATCATCCTAAGGCTGATGAAGAAGCTGAATGGCCTTGAAACACTTCCTGAGTCTACAGCACATGTGTTTACTGTTGGGGATTGCAATCCCGGGTTATTTCTAGCACTCTGGGCTATCCTACACAAACCTTTTAATACTCTTGAAACTTACAGTATCATTAGTATTGTCAGATCACCAATCAATATTTTCCACAATTTTCATCTCTTATTTTTTATTTCATACTTTTAGTTTTTTTTTACCTATTATGTATGATCCATCCATTAGGTAGATTGATTACCATTACCATCCACATTATGTCTAGTTTATCAGACCACTCCTGAGCACTGTAGTTTGTCTGGGCTTGACAAGCTCATGCATTCACACATATATTTCTGGATAGAATAAGTTTCAAGAACAGACATATAGATTTCAATCAATGCATCCTCAGAAGGGAAACAGTGTATTTTTAAGCATGGGGGTAATGTTCCCCTGAGCCTGAATGATCAGTTAATCTTCAAACCCTTTCTGTAAATAATAATTAATAATTTTTTTCATTGGAAAATTCTTGTCTGACTCCTATATTTGGAATATTTGGATTATATATTTGGCATATCTGTTAATTGCATAGTAATAGTATTATGGCAAGTCTGATTTGTGAAGGTTTTAGTGTTTGCTGTTAGGACAGTATTGCTGTTTGTTTTATTTGAGACATATTGCTCTTTGTTTATTGTAATAAAAATAGTGTATTATATACTGTAATTGTTTATATGCTAGCTGTAAAGGATTATTATGTGC